TTTTGGGGGGGGGTTAAAATAAACCTCTTTAAATAACCCGTTTAAATAAACTGTTTAAATAAATCCCTCGCCCCACGCGTCTGTGCAGCGCCCTGCGGGTCTTCTTGGCGCGTGAGGCGCCGCCAGAGGGCACGAGGGAGGTGGTGGAGCATCTCGCGCGCCCTGTTCGGGGGCATCACGGTGGCCCCGGCCCCTCAGGTGACACCCGCGCACACACACCTGTGTGGGCCCAGGCACCTCCCCAGAGGTCAGAGTTGCTTCTCTTCCAGTCCTGCTGTATCTGCTCACTCCAAGCCACCGCTGGTGGCGGAGGACACGCTGTCACTGCGTATTGTCACTCCTAATCGCCACCTCCTGTCGCGACAGGTGACTTCTCCTGCGAGCCCAGCTCGACATCAGCGAGGAAAAGCCACATCCAGCAGCCGAGGCTTCCCCAGTAACACTAGATGGTACCAGAGCTCCACACAGGACTCCAAAAAAACCTTGGAATTCTGAACGCGGGAAAGCTGGAGATGCGAAGCCGCATCTCTTGGTGCGCTGCTGGCCCAGGGAACGGCGTTCGCGCGGGGAAAAAGCCGCCAGGGCAGTTGGGAATAAAATAAGGACATTTTTTCTGGTGTTCAGGGCGACAAGTGCAATGCGTTTGTGGTTAAAAACCATCAGCAGAGTGATGGTGTTGCAGCACTGGGAGGGAAAGTTTGAACAGAGACTCTCAGGGAGTTTTTCAGTAATAATAATTAGGTAAGGAAAATCTAGGAAGGATTTTAACTTGATCAGAAACTGCACACGGCAGGTTGGAACTGGATGAGCTTCAAGGTCTCTTCCAACGCAAACCATTCCACGATTCTATTCCATGATTAAATCTTAAAAAGAAGGTATCCTGGTATCTTTAATCCTTGATATCTTTAGTATTAGGAACTATTCAAACAGCACTTAGAATATCATCACCTTTTTCTGGAAGCGCCTGCACACATTGCCTGAAATATTCATGCGTGAAAAAAAACCACCCTCTTCCTGCAAATGAATATTTATTCCATGAATAATCTTTAATGTCTTCGTGGCTTTCAACACATTTGGGCAAAATGTTTCAAGTTTCTGCGCTTACAATGACAAAACCTGAACCTGACACCTAAATAGGTGGCCTGATTTCAGCTGTGTGGGGCATTTTGGGGAGACAGAATTTCCTCCCTGTAGCCCCCTCCGTAGCATGGCAGCGTTTTAGAAACCTTGGGGAACTCAACGCAGCAATTTAGGGGGTGAAATGAAGTCTGGAGATAACAGGGGAAAATAATAAAAGGCAGAGCTGGCGCTGGGCCAGAATAATTTTCTCTAAAGCTCCACTCTCCTGCAGAATTCCTGGTTTCCTGCCCATGGCAGGGGGTTGGAGCTGGATGAGCTTTAAGGTCCCTCCCAACCCAAACCAGTCTGTGATCCCATGACTCTGTGAAGTCCTGTGAGATGATCTTATGGCTAAATATGGTCAGGGCTTGAGTGCTGAGCCTCATCCAAGATGCAGCAACACCGGTGGTTCCTCTTCCCAGATGAAGAGTTGGCGTCGGCGTCTTATTTTTAGTGGTGTGGGTGTAAAATATGTTGGTTGAATTCCACGTCGCCTGAGCTCGGTCTGCTCTGCCATGGTGGGGTTTGTGCCCAGACATAGCCAAGCTCAAGGTCCCAGACTGACATAATGGAATCATCGAATCATGGAATCACATGGGTTGGCAGGGATCTTAAAGCCCATCTCAATCCCACCCCCTGCCATGGGCAGGGACACCTTCCACTAGCCCAGGTTGCTCCAAGCCCCGTCCAACCTGGCCTTGGACACTTGCAGGGCTGGGGCAGCCACAGCTTCTCTGGGCAACCTGTGCCAGGGCCTCCCCACCCTCACAGGGAAGCACCAGAAACATCTCAAAACACACCTGGAAAGGCAAAAAAATCCTTCTGCTCCTGTTTCAGCAGGAGAACAACACCTTTCCCATCCCCTCAGCACAAACTGCCATGTTCTTGCCTCTGGCCACCTCAAAATCAAGTGGAATATAGACAATAATTAGCTGCAGGCTGGGAGGTGGAACATCAAGGAGGGAATACACAATTCCAGGTGTCATTAAAGCTTCAGGCCGTTCTCCACAGGGCCCTGCCCTGCTCTTGGTTTATTTTACAGGTAATTCCCACATCTGTGCTTCCAGGAGCACTCAGGACCAGGCTGGGGCATTAACTGGAGGCACAGAAGACTTCTGCTCCCTGGGAATGATCAGATGAGGGGCAGAGGAGTGGATTTCTCCCCACCTGCTCCTGAGCTCGAAGGGAATTCCCCTCCAACCGCAACAGCGAACAGACCATTAAAATGTCTGTTCCAAAGGCTTTCCATGTCCCATTTATATTTACTGCTGCTTCATCCTGCTGGAAGGCAAAGGCCTGTTTGTACCTGCTGAAAGGTTTGGGATGGATCAGTTGACTGGAAAAGGCTCTGAGGATTGAAACCTGCAGTCCCACACGTCGTGGCTCCTGGGCACGTTTGGCCCCAAAAACGATGTTCAGAGCTGCAAATGTAAAGGAGATTCATGTAACTGAGCTTTTGGAAAAGGGCCGTGGTGTTTCCTCGCTTGCCTCAGCGTCTCTGCAGATTCGTTGCCTCCGTTCATGGACAGACTTTCCATGGGAAGCTGAGGACAGGCTTCCCCCTTTTCCACCTTTGAAGAGCCCCTCGGTGCATTGCAATGGGCTTTGTGGAACCAGCTCTGCTCAGGTTTCAGAAGGAAACAGGACTTAGGTGATTATAATGTGCCTGTGAGGGAATGACGGGCCCTGTTTGTACCTGGTGTTGCTGAGATGGAGGAAATCAGCCTCGCTGTCCAAAAAAAGCTGGATTGAGGAGGAGGGGTTGAGACAAAAACTCACCTCCCTGTGCAGGAGGAAAATGGTAGCAAGAGCAGGGAAAATGGGTTAAGCTCAGGGCTTGCATTAGTGGTTTATTCCATCTAAATTAGCAACAGGGTTTTCCTTGAACCCTGATTTTGTGAGGCAATATTCTGTGGTAATATCCCATGGATGAGGGAATGTTCCCCTGACAGCCCCATCCCCATGGAATTACTGAATTCTGGTGCCAAGTTCAACCAAATGGACAACAGATAGAAATCCTAAAGTTAACACACCCCTATAAAGGTTGTGATAAAAGATTTGTGTTTGTGTGAGAGAGAAACCACAACCAGAAAGCTTCAAATCCAGGAAGAAAAGGGACAAAAATTCCCAAACCATGGAAAAGTCTTGGTAGCATTCATACCTATGAGATACTAGAAAGTCCACACAGGGGAAAACACCCAAAAAGAAGACTCTGGGTGGCTGACCAGGCAAGAATTGCTCTGGGTGAGGTATTAATCATGTCTTTTTCCCCACCACTTTTCTGGTGTGTAAAAAGGGGTGAAATCCTGCCATAGCCACAGTTTAGTTTGGTTTAAAGGTCCATCAGCCCTGAGGCACAAATCCATTGGAAACCAGGCTCCATCATTCCAGCACTAAGAGGACTGAGGTGGTTCCTTTACTCTTTTCCTTTGTAATTTCTTCCCTTCCCCAAGACCACATAAAGCAGAATCAGGATGCTGTGAGAAAGAGGGTTCTCAGGGTAGTTCAGGCCCTCTAAAAAGCTCTTTCTTTTGGTTTTTCAGGGGGACAAGAGCCAGGCCAGGGCAGGAGCACCCCGAGGAGCCACCAGTGCTGATTCCCTGTGGGCTGTGGGGAGCAGTGGAGATGCTCCTACCCCGGCACAGCAGCGGCCGAGGGCTCTGGATTTAAGAACCAGACGAGCATGAACTACACTGGAATTCCTTCAAAAATCTGCTATCACTCCCCTCCCCACAGAAAGCTGAATAAATCCCCTTCGTATTTCAGGCTCCCTGAAATATTATCAGTGCTCTTTGACACTCTACCTGCCCCTCATCCCACCTGGCTCCCCACAGAGCGCATTTCCGCTGCTTTCAGGGGCAAAAAAAAATCAGATTCCTTCAAAGCCTGACACTCCTCGAGCACGAGGGTGATCAAGTCTCCTCCACTGTATATTCGGTATTTTAACAGGGTTTTCTTTCAGCCCTTTAATGAGTTTTTATTCCCTTTTGTGTATCAGACGCTTCACTCCCACCGACAGTTTTACTCACCCCGCGTGGAGTAATATGAACAGGCAGGACAACCTTTTATTCCTGTGGCAAGGTTTGCTCTGCCAACATTCTTCTCCTCCTGCAGTTGGGGGGATGTGTTTTGACCCTTTCCTCACCCACCTTCCAGCCTCGGAGCGAGGACGTTCCCGCCGGAGCCGAGGCAGGAACAGCCCGGCCGTGCTGCCCGTGCTCTCGGATCCCACAGCCCTGCATCGGGGAAAGGGGAAGGAAAACAATCAAAAGAAAAGCAAATGTGGGGTTTGGCTCGTCTGAACAGCCAAGTTTTGTTACTTCAGCCTCAGCCCAGGCTTGGAGGAAATTCTGTTGCAGTCTGCAGTGGGTGGGATTGTCCTCACACCTCTGGGGAGCTGCATTTATAGAATCATGGAATCACATGGGTTGGAAAGGACCTTAAAGCTCATCCAGTCCCACCCCCTGCCATGGGCAGGGACACTTCCCACTATCCCAGGTTGCTCCAAGCCCTGTCCAACCTGGCCTTGGACACTTCCAGGGATCCAGGGGCAGCCACAGCTTCTCTGGGCAACCTGTGCCAGGGCCTCCCCACCCTCCCAGGGAAGGATTCCTTCCCAATATCCCATCTAAACCTCCTCTCTGTCACTTTGAGCCCATTCCCCCTTATCCTGTCACTACATATGTTACTTCTAACACATCCCAAGCTGAGCATGGAGAGAGAGCAAATCTCATCCTGGATGCAGGAGGTGCCCAACCTTGTGGTGATGCTGCCAGGCTGGTGGGAAAAATCCATGCCTGAACTGCTGGGGGACAAGGCCATTCCCACCAATCCTGGCCTGAACAGGAGATGCCCAGATCCCATTTTTTAGCCACAGAGATGGCAGCAGTCACTGACCCCACAGAGGAGAGTTGTTGCAGGACACCTGGCTGGAATTCCAAAGGATTACACCCCCCAGGTTGGGGGCTGCACAAATGAATAGGTGCCAGTCCTGCCCCCCAAATGGACACAGTGGGTGACGTTGGATGGGTGACGTGGGAAGGAGGAGGAAAAAGGCAGAGGCACCCAAGGAATTGAGAACCCACATGGGCAGACAGCACCTGCTCCCACTGATCTCGGGCTAT